ATTATCCGAGAGGCGTTGGAATAATAACGTAAGATGTTGAAAATGTTCATCTACGTTTGATGATGCGATCACCAGGTCATCAACATAGACGTGAACAAAATCCAAGTTTCGTACTATGCTATCGATAAACCTTTGGAAAGTTTGAGCAGCCTTCCGTAACCCAAATGGCATTCGTAGGAACTCAAACAGACCGAACGGAGTTGTGATAGCAGTTTTTTCGCTATGTACAAGAGCGACTGGGATCTAGTGATATGCTCGTACCAGATCAATCTTAGAAAAGATTGTCGTGCCCTTGAGTGATGCCGTGATGTCGTGTGTGTGGAGGATGGGGTAGCTATGGAAGCCCGTAACTACGTTTAATGCTCGGTAGTCGCCGCATGGTCTCCAACTAACCCCATCCTTTTTGAGCACCATGTGTAGAGGTGAGGCCCAGGGACTGTAAGAAGGGCGAATAATACCAGTAGATAGTAAACTGTCAAACTCACGTTTAGCGAAAGCTAATTTGTCCGGTGCCAGTCGGCGTGGACTTGCCGTGACTGGTGGTCCGCGGGTGACTATGTGGTGTAACACACGATTGTTCACTGACGAAATCTCCTCGGGTTGTTTGATTATTCTGGGGAATTTTTCGAATAAAGCGTGGAATTTATCGTCACGCGAATAAAAAATGTCGAGGATTCAGTACGCGTTTGTGTGAGCTTTAAAGCCAATGAATTTACTGTTCGACGAAGTATCGATTAGCTGCAGCCTACGTGAATCGACTAGCAATTCATAGTGCTGTAGGAAATCAATACATAGTGTGACTGTGGGATTATCAGCAATGACGAACGTCCACAGATACCGTCGTCGGTTGCCCAGGTTGACCGCGAGTTGTTGTGTACCGTAGGTAGGAATGTCTGAGCCATTTGCAGTGCGTAGTCGAAGCATTGTAGCTTGTGACTTGATGCTACGACGTGGTACGACAGAAACTTGGGCACCTGTATCCACTAAGTACCTAGCGTTTGTGCGATCATCGTGCACGTAAAATTAACGGCCAACCGGGGGGCAGGGCCGGCGAGTACGGTCGCTTTCACTCGCCGGCTTTGGAGTTTCCCGCTTTGTATGAGCACGGGTCTCGACAACGGCGGGCACCAGATCCGATGGATCGACGAAACCAGCACCAGCCCTCACTCGCTTCCGAAGCCGCCTTTTGGCGTGGCTTGGAAGATGCCCTCGTTGGGCGAGTGTTGACGGCTTTTCGAGAGCGTGAGCGGAGTCGAGGGACGTAGGTTTGGGGTACGTTACAACGGCCTCGAAAACTACGACGTGTGTGAATACACCCTCCCCTGTCACCTTGAGCCGAGGAGTGGCTGCCGTCGATATCGACTTTCGGACGCGACGTTGAGGCAACTACGTAGGTGTCTCGGTTGCTAGTCCTAGCTAGAATTTTGTCTGCTGTGAGGGCTACCTGTTTCAGTTTTGCGTCCTCGAGCAGGGCCGTAACTGGTAGAGATTCGAGCCACAGTTCTTTAACGATTTCAGAGTCGGCTGCCGTGAGTCCTGCAAGAGATTGCAGGCGCGTGAGGTGGTGGCTCGGTTTAGTATCACCCAGGGGGTGACGTGCTAATAACGTCCTCAATCGTTCCTCCCTCGATGGGAGGAAATGTCCGAGGATCGCCTCCTTGAGACGATCGTAAACATTTGGCACATTGGAATTGAGGACTACCTCACGGACAGCTACTAAATGGTCTCCCGGTAAACATTCGAGAGCGTAGACGTACTTCTGCTGTTGGCTTGTAATATGACGGGTATCGAATTGAGACTCTATTGCAGCAAACCAAACTTCAGGGTCGTGAGGAATAAGAGATACAGGTCGAAGGTGTATAACATGTACGTCAGAGTCTATTACGTCATCATCCGTTGCGAAACATTTGATTGAGACTGGTCATAAGGTTGACATCAATTCAGCATTTGTAGTGTTATACAAAAGACCTTGAGGACGTAAACTAAGGCTAATGGAAGCCTTGGCTATACGGAAATTGAAACCCCCTATATGTGTTCAAATGCAATTCGTCCTTGCACTTAACCTACACTGGTAATACTGATTTATTATCCAGAGTGGTAATCACATTGTTTTTGTGTACTTGATTATTATTTTTTCTTCGTTACGGCTTACCTTTAAACTTTCTAGCTGACCTTATATATATATATATATATATATATATATATATATATATATATATATATATATATATATATATATATATATATATAAAATCTTAACAAGTATATGTGTGATCAGATTGTTCGAATAGTATTACGCAAATATATCACATAATTCTGATAAACTTCGTCTTCTATTGCATTATCGAAGGGATTAATTGTTTTAAACATTATTAAAAAACTGCTCTTTTTAATCTGTGTTGAGAATTCATTCGTAATGGTCTGCTATCTCTCCGCCTACGTATGCTGAGTGTATGTAATTTACGATACAGTCGAACTGTCATCGTCTTGCGTGTCGAAATTCATTAAACGCGTTCTGAGAATCATCCAAAAAGAGAAAGGTTTGCTCAAAATTAGACTTTAAAACTGCTCACTTATATCAGCCGAACCATTTCGTCAACTGGAAGCTTGACTAGTAACGCTAGGCACTTTCCTGCTGATGTAAATAAAGTCCTTATATTTGCATTTCGTTGAGTTTGCTGATATTACGTCATATTTCGAGTCTAATATGATCTTTAAAGAATCGGATATAACGGCAGCTATCCTATGGAATGTTACTCAAAAACAAATGCAATATTTGCATTTAAAAAGTACGATGCCACTTAATGTCATGTAGTAGATACAACCTGGACCTGATAATTCATCCATTCACGCCAAACAGATCTGTGCCATAATATCGTCTCCTGAAAAAAATCTCTTACAACATTCTGACCTACAACAAAAAAATCGTTTTTAGAGTAACCGCATTTCAAATTTACAATAAAGCGTTTACTTTTGTGTCCGTTGCAATTCAGAGTGCAGACCCCGGCGACGGTTATATTTCTGTGAATTGTATCCATCACATTCAACCACGTTGTTCAACGCAGATATTTGTTGAAGTGTTGGAGCTAAATTCCTATTCTTTGCGGAAAACAATCTTCTACTTCACCGACTGCAAACCATCAAGTTAGCAAAACACGTTTGCTTTTGAACCATCTCGAAAGAAATTGTCGCATGCAAAATGTCACGTAAAGCCATTCGTATCATTTGCTGAAAGCCATAATACATGAGCCTACTTAGTAACATGTAAGTTAACATCCTAACAACTTAATACCGAAGTCGACAACTTGAGGCTTTTTATCAACGACGAATACCCATTTAAAAAGGATGAACATATATTTCCAACGCTCACTATGGTTTGTTTTACTCCATAGATGAATGCGAGGAGTGCGCGTTATCTGTAATTTTGACATTTATGCTTTCCGAACTCTTCTCAACTGTATAGTAAATCGACCAACAAACTTCTGTTGATAAAAAACTCTGAGTTTGACGTGAACCGTATTTAAACTGCAAGAAGCACTTTTACTGTTTGTCATAAGTACAAAACATCAAAACACTACAGAAAAATTCTGTTTGACCACAAAATATAAAACCATAAACAGTCATTGCAGATGATGCATCAACAAATTGTTTTTTTCACAATATCCAGAACTTTCAGAATCCCATATAATAGAAAGAGAAGTAAGCCTAAAAACCAGTGAACTATGTTGTATTATTCAAACACAAACTGCCGGTCACTAACTCAGCCAATCGATGTTGTACCAACAAAGTAGAGATAATTTTAGCAAGAGGTTGAGTTATTTTATGCTCTACTTCTCATTTCAATCTCAATAAACAAACGGATTTCTGAGCGTCAGAAAATTGTCGTTCTTCTAATAATGCGATCAACAATAAAACGTCTGCTTTTAGTCTGTCGAGGTAGGAGTGAGTTCAGTATGAGAGAGTAAGGTAGTAAGGACTAATTGTTACTTCAGTGACCCTACATTATCATGTACCGCAAATTGTCAAGTCGGACATTTTTATGGATTTTGAAGATAAATTGTTATAGTCATCGTAATTTTTTGTGGTGGATACTTCCTTGTGATTTGACATTACTTGGTCTTCAACCACAATAAACATCTAGACGATTTGCCGTTTGTGAAGAATGCACTTCGGCCTTCACAGAACATAATAATCAAGTTGAGCATGGCAACTTTTTCTTCAACTAGTATTTCATTCTGTCTATACTAGTATATCTATATAGATGGCATGTTCTAAATTTGTTTCCGTATTATAAAATATCCATTTATGTCATAACACAACAACTGAGTTGTATATTTTCCTAGTAATTCCTGTAAAATAATTGTGACAGTTTGATGTTGTCCGTAAAATTGCATGCTCAATGTAACTTGGAGCTACCTTAAAAGATTACTATTCTCATTTGTCCGATTCCTATTGGTTACCTTAAGGAACAAATCTAAACCCAAAGGATTAACCATCCTGAAATTACATAGGACCATACCCTCTTGTCAAGCCAATTAAGATCAAGACATGACATACTCGGAACCTATCTCTAATATTCACATATTGAGTGAATTAGTTGGCTCCAAAAATGCCCTGATATGGCTGAGCGTGGGGGAGAGCTCTCTTTATCGCTCGAAATGCACTCACATGGCCACGAGTATATGGACACTGCCCTTTCGTGGAGGGCACCGTGTTGGTCAACGGCTACCATGTGATTGCATCTTCTAACGTTGCTCCACTACCTTGTGGATCAGACGTCTAGGGAAGTGGCCTCCTAAGAAAAGCACCTGCTTCGGTCTAAGCGTCCGGGCAGTATTCCAGACCTCATATAAATCGAATGACGAAGTGCTAAGTAACAGCAGGCCAAATAAATATCTCGCATTAAAATAATAGTTACTAAAAGGGAGAAATCTAAACAACCAACTACCTTACTGTCAGACTTTCCACCTGAACGCCAATGATGTTAAAATGTTCAATCGGTCATGTATTATGACTTGTATTCAGTACAGTGACAAAGTAAATACAGTAAAATCAATGAACAGTACCGGAAGAAAAATGGAAATAATGTTTTATTATTGGAAATGAAAATTACGTTACACAAAATCGACTAATCCGATGTTGAGGGTAGTATGGGTGGGGAGGAAGAAGATGCAATTGGTGCAGAACTATACAAGTCACCCTCAGAGTCGGGATGGAAAGCGACCACAGGAAGGTTGTAGGGTGAAACAAAAAACTTCCCTTTCGGTTTCAGGCTTCCGTCAGACTTTTCCTAAATCCAAAACAAAGTATCAAGGAATTTAAGGAGATCCGAATAATTAAATTGGGCTGGTTACAAAATTGATATTAAAAATCGCGAAAGAATAAATATTACTAGGGAAACAGACAACGATGCTATGCTAACAGGAAGTATTCATGGAAAGACACAAAACTAGTTATTTATTCATAAGACATACGTAATATGTGTTCACATGTTCAGACGTGATAGAACTATAATAAAAAACCCTAGGGAATATCGTCAACTTTGGAATTGATCATGGAAACGAAAGGTAATAAGGAAGCGCAGAACCACTGCTATAAATAACATTCAAGATAACGTGTCGAATTTACCAAAGACATGGAGCATGACTGATTGCAACGTCATCATCAAAATACTCAAATTGTGATTAAATAGTTTAGAATTTTCTACTGGTTGCTTTATAAAAAAAAATTATGCCAGAAGTACATGAAATCTAATGTTGTGATCACATGAAAAATGTTTATAATGAAGCAATAGCTTAATGGTTAAAGCGCTCAGATTTGAACAGTTGAGCCTCGCTGTCTGGTGAAGCATGGGGTTAAAAGCCTTAGTCATATATTTCAAACAGTAGACGTTTTGTACACATCTGATACATTTTGATAGTTATCACAGAATGTTATAAGTGAAGTTCTTTGTTTAAAAAAACATGCATCAATAAAATAACTTTATCAAACCATTTTAGGGAGATGGGATATATGTAAGATGTAGACATATAAAAGAAAGTACATTTACATGAAATAAACAACTGATTTTCCTTAAATAAATTCATTCATTCGGGATTGGTTATGGCTGAGAAATTCTATATAACGAAATAAATAACAATAGTAATCTAAATCTTAAGCAGCACATATTGACTAGTGTTTCATATTTTTTAGATAATTAACATTGTAAGTTAGATAAAAGTGTGATATTAAAATAGAGACTTCGGTGTTCTGTCAAAAAAGAACTCAACAGATAAACGGATAGAAATAAAGCCATAAAAATGATCGTATAATGTAAGCTGGAAAACTCCAGGTGAAAAACCACTTCAACAACCTAACAGTTTAAATAGCACGGTCTGGAGTTCAAGATAAATGAATTGAAATTATTTTAACTCATCATATTACAGCAAAATCTTTAATTGAAAACAGTTATTTACTAATTGTCCCCAAAGACCGAGAGTCCGCTCACCCTCTCGAAATTCTCTCACATGGCCATACGTGTACATCTACTGCCGGGGAAGTCCTACTCACTGTCTTCTCGCACCACGGGTGTCGTTTACGAAGTTGAGAGAACCAAAAGCGAATGCCCGGCGCTTTAATCGGGTTGGTAGATATGGAGGAGTCACCTAAGGGAGTTGGAAACCCCTGATTCCAAACCAATGGTGCACATGGGCTCCAGTATCCTGCGGGAACAAATGGCGTATGAACTAATCTTTGGTCACCGGCTACCATGGGACTGCATATCCTCACGATGCTCCACTGCCTTGTGGATCAGATCTTCAGGTCAAAGGCTCGGGGTGTGGCCCCCTAAGAAAACCACCTGGTTCGGTTTGGGCACCCGGGCAGTATCACAGCCCTCACACATATCAAATGAGACCTGTGTGGCGCATACGTATTTGGTGCCTTCTTGTACCAATATCTATGTGTTCAAATAAATAAAATGAATAAATAAATAATATTTACCCACTGGTCAGCTAATTCACTCATTTTCGCTTTCAATAAACGAATTAAACTAGCTTTTACAGCAGACTTCTGTTGAATTTGTGCATCTTGGATTGTTTCCAATTCATTTCGCTTGTCTGGTTTACTACCCGGACCATAAATACGTAAAAGACCACTCCAGGTACTAACTTCAGGATGTAGACGGGCTAAAAGATGTTGAGCAGATAAATGACGACCTTCTCTTTTGTTTTTACATCTAACCTATCAACATTGAGATGGTTAATTTCAATCATAATTATTCAGTGACTAATAATAGTGAATTTACTAAGAAGGTTTCAAAATAATGAAAGAAATAATTATAAAAAGTCGTTACATCAATACGAGTAAGGTATTTCTATAAGACAGCATCTAATTCTGTAAACCAAGAGTAACGAACATTGTAGAAAGAAGTGGATTCATTTTATTCCGTATGCTCTATTTCTTTCACATATACGCTAATTTAACTCAATGAAAATAAATTATACAAGTGTAATGTAACATGCATTTATAATCAGTTGTCTGATCGAAAGATTATTTGAAAGACAGAAAAGGTCAAGTTTGTGAGTTTAGTAAACCAATATGCTATCACACAATCAACCTCTTTATATTTATTACAGACCTCATGACGGTCCCAGTACAGGTGTTTTAACTAAGGAAGAATACCATTTAGAAATAATTAAATGACTAGATGATATCAAACACTTTCCCATAAACAAACAGAACAAAGATATGACTCTAAGAACCAATAAGAATTGTAGTCAAGTTATAAAAGAGAAAAAATAAACGAATCAACTTGTGAATGTTTAAAGTCAAAAATGTCTTACTTGTTGACATTGTACGGTTATATAGGACTAATAAAACTGGACAACAGATTGTCACACCAAACGTTTTCAAATAGTGTAGTGTACAATATTCGACGAGTTTAACAAGTGTGATACATTGATAAACATTATTTTACTATAAACACTCTAAATTTTTCCTAATAATGGCTTTCACATTCAGAGAGATGTAATGCCATTTCATTTGTATTGGTCTTGTCAAAGTTATAAGTAAATTACACATAATACTATCATTATAATTATAGGAATAGTTAGGCCTACCTTAACAGTATGTTCTCTCAGCTGTAAAGTGAAAAAGTGTTTACTGCGTCCTTGAGATATCATATTTGACTTCAAATCAGACTCAGGAACACAACTTCGACTTAAACACTCAACAAGCAGATTATATGGAGTAGGTAATGCCATACGCACAGATAATTCATATAAACGTGGATCAGTCACTGAAATGGAATCGAACAACTGCATATCACGATCAGATGCTACCACTGGACCTGTTTGATGTGAATTGCTACAAACAATCTTTTGAAAATCCGGAATTAAAACTTCAAGCGCCTTACGAGCTTCACAAAATAAAATAAAGCGAAAATCAGATAATATTTTAAGTGAATGTATAATTGTGAAGAGTGAGAACATAAAAAGCTTAAAGTTATCAAATAAGACATTAATATTCTGATTATAATTAATAATTACAAACTATATTTTAACAAGCCAGATGAAAAGTTTCAGGGGTAATTATTAAGTCTATATATAAAATCACCATTGAAATTATTCATAGCTCTGATTATCCTTTATCCTCTACTGAGTTCAATTTATTCTAACAAGAATGTTTGAGACATGTAACATTTTCAACATATATAGTAACAGGGTTACATAATTCGGTTAGTTTTAATACAAGAATAAACATATAACCATTTTCAACGGTCAGGAAAAAACATACCCGCTTCTAATCTTGCACACTTTTTACTTTGCCCTGTACCGGTTCCATATGGATTACCATTAATAAATACTGTCATTTGATAGGGATTTTTATCATTTTCTAGAACTGTTGTCTGATATGTTGGCGGACGACGTATAACATTTTGGCAATACTCATGAAGAATGCAAACATATGATTTACCAGTCATATTGATCATACCCTCTAGAAAAATATACCAAGTGGTAAATGTACAAAAAAATAGGTTAGATGAATCAGGGATCTGATCGACTATACAGTTTAATTCTTCTACTTATCACATAATATGCACATGAGACAGATTTATGTACGTTACAGAACTATTAAAAATCATACAACATAACGGAGAAATCTTGTCTAAGTTTAGGGCTTCTCAGGAACATGTACTCAATACGCCACATAGGAGCGGACATAAAAACACCCACGAATAGAATACAGCATGTTATGAATAGGCCACCCTAGTTAAAGTCCAATATTCTCTAGTTTTTAGCATCAATCGACATTTAGTGTCGTTGATGTAAATCTGTCTTATTGCAGATAGCGTTTGACTTCAAAAGATCAAGTTTTGCAAATCCCCCTTGAAGCAAGTCAGTGATGAATACCTGATTGTTATTTGAATTGGGTTTCGATGAAAAGTCATCCAAAATGCATATATGGCGAAGACTGACGAAGAGTCTATAACTTGTAAGAAATAACTCTCTAGATTTCCTTAGTATTTAATGGTTATGGAGATGATGTCAATATGCAGTGTAGAGTCAAACTAAAAAGACTTTCATAAACAACGAGGTGAATATTATACGTTTGATACATTAAAAAATGTTTCAAAAGCATTTCAAAATTGTCGTAACAACAAGAGAACAGTTTTTTTTATTTTAACACATAAATATCGGTACAAGAAGGCACCAAATACATATGCGCCACACAGATTTCATTGGATATGTGTGAGGGCTGTGATACTGCCCGGGTGCCCAAACCGAACCAAGTGGTTTTCTTAGGGGGCCACACCCCGAGCCTTTGACCTGAAGATCTGATCCACAAGGCAGTGGAGCATCGTGAGGAGATGCAGTCCCATGGTAGCCGGTGACCAACGATTGGTTCATACGCCATTTGTTCCCGCAAGATACTGGAGCCCATGTGCACCATTGGTTTGGGATCCGGTTAAAGCGCCGGACATTCGCTTTTCGTCTTCTCATTTTTGTGAACAACACCCCCGCCACGAGAATGCAGTGAGTAGGACTTCCCTGGCAGGGGCTGTATACGCGTGGCCATGTGAGGGCATTTTGAGAGGGAGGGCGGACTCTCCCCACTCTCGGCCATACCAGGGCATTTGGGGGCCCAAACAAAAACAGTACAAAAATACGATCAAATAAACTTTCGCAGCTTTTGATGTTATTACGATAATTAATTAAATAACAAACACTTTATTGTTTACATCATTAGCTTGAAATTATGTGCCAAATCTATAAAACTATGATAGTTAAGGATCTACAAAAATGTCGATGTTAAACCTGGGAATCGAGCACAATACCGTCTACTTCAAACCATTACAAACTAAATTAAAATTCGTGTCTGTTGCACAAGTGACTGTTTGGACTCAGTAGCTAAGTGGACAGCATGTTAGCGCTTGAAGCAAAGGTGATAGGTTCGAGTCCCGCAGTGAACATCAATTCTGGGATTTAGATGCACCCAGCTGGCGAGTCCAAAATAGGATAAAACGTGCGTCGTGGATTTTACTACTAGATACATCCCATGAAAAATAGAGCGCAAAGGATACAATGTATTGTAGATCACCAACTTAGATGATCTATGTCGAATGATTAGAGGTCTGCTCGAGTTAGACGGGAATGGTATGACGAACCAGCTAGCTTTGAAGTCACACCTCGCGGTCAGCATCTAACGTGAATTATCCCTTCGATGTATCAAATCACCATGGCTGCTTTGAAGATCATATAACACAAAGGACGTTATTATGAAAATGTATGAGTAAGAATGAGTACAGAGAAGATAGCGAGACCACCACCGCATGCACCACTCCATGACATACGATTGACTGATGCGCGTTGGTTGTCCTCGACCTTGACGAGGGTCGATGATTTGTTCGATATTCAGTGATCCAACTGCCGGATGATTTGGCTACGGCTCAGTGACATTTTACTGGCCCTACAGTATGAATAAAAATAAGTCAAATCTTAGTCGATCAGAACATCAACAACAGCCGTCGTCCGAGTCTGTATGGATTTCTAAATATTCATCAGACAATAACCGTAGCAACGAAGCAAATTAATGATACGAATGCTCTTTTTGAACTAGACTTCTTATATTTGAGAGAGGATTTCCCGTAAATCCCCATGTTAGCTGACCAGTTCTTTAAGTTAGTATCATTTTATAGTGTTATTCACAAGTATGGTTTGTTCTATGTGCTTATTGGTCTTTTATTGGTGCACTTGAGTAGCTTTGGATTCACTGTATTACGAAAACTACAAACTGGAGGTTGATATTCATCATTTTATTTCTATCTCTATCATAGTACAGTATTTTGCATCGCCTAGAGTGCTGGTTTCAGTACTTTGCATTCAGCTTTAATTAAATATTAACTGGATGTTTTACGTTTGAAATCCCTCGAGTGTAATTACTTGACCTACATAAAGACAGACATATTTAACATGAACGATGAATCCCATGACAATCCTAATATAAAGTAACACCTACCTTTAGGCTGCTTTCGCGACACGTTTCCGTCAGCCGATGGTATTTGATATCGAATAACTTTTGCCTGTTCTGACTTAAATTACAGACATAAAAATAAGGAAATATTAATCTGGGATTTTTAGACACAAAAATAAGAAAATTGTAAGAGAAAATACTTTCAAAAAACAGATTAGTTGATTTGATTGACTAAAACAGGTATAATCAACTAATGTATATGTAACATGAAGGTGAAAAACATAAGCTAGGAAGAAGGATTTGACTCACAAATTAGACACTTTTGACTGTATCTTAGGTACTACATATCGATACAAACCTCTCGGGCTTGAGGTATAGTACACTACACATCACAACTCTTGACTAACGATGGACATGCAACAGATTTTACGGAGTATGTATGGTATAAAAACGTACAAAACATCCTTTTCTGTCTACATATATACATATGGTGTGATTATGTGTGTACTTCAGAAAACATACATGAAATAGTCGATCTGCCAAACTGATGTCAAATTTCCTTTCGTAAGTAATAAAACTGTCTTCATCAATATCATTAAACATGGGACGTATTTATAATAATTAAATAAGACGTGGGGTAATACTACCAAGTGAATGATCGTGACTGTGTCTATAAAATTTCATAGTTAACAATTGTGCAGCAGAACCAACACTAATAGACATTAACGTAATCTTCCCTATGTTGAAACATGGATTATTAAGTCTTAGGATTCTTGACTAATTTGCGAGAGTCAAGCAAACTACATTGCCTAACAAAACTTACTTATTGCGAATTTTCATCCTTTGCACTATTAGCTAATCATCGTAAATTTATTTCCTGGTCAGATCACAAGTGCTTTAATGATCGTCACTAAAATTATTATATTTCTTTAGTCATTAGAAAACTGAAGTTATCGTTATAAGATGATTTAATGTCCAAGGTTCGAACTCTGCTCTACTATATTTGGTATGGGCAGCTGCGTATTATCAGTAGCCGTCACATTTTTAGTGTCACTTAATACCAACGACATGAACATACATCTGATAAGTGACTTAATAAAATTTATTCAACCCAAACTGTTGTTGTTTACGTATAGTGATTCTATGCAGTCAGGCGTGTTCAAAGACAGTGTGAAACACCATCACCACAGTTGTAATGTAAAACTTTTTGAATTGAAGTGCTGTGAATTCGACCATTTAGGTAATGGACACTTTGAGTTTATAAATAACAATTTTGACAAAACGGAAGGATAAAAATATTTTCTATTTCTGCAATATACTCCTGTAATGTGACAATAGGACTGGGGACCGAGATTTTGTTATCAATAGATCGAATATTAAAACGATATGCTATACAAACATTGGATCCAGTTATACTAAATACGCGACTCACGATCGGTAAGAGGGAGATAGAATATACGCTAGACAATGCTTGACTTAACGCAGTTACAAGCAGTCAACCTTAATGAGATCAGAGTGGAAATTAATAACAAGGAAAGAAACCATATATTTAATAGTCGGTAAGTTGAATGTCTGATTTTTCACACTCAGTGGTCAATCATATTTACTTTCACTACCACACATCAAGTTTATCCTGGTATGTATTCAGAAATGTGATGGTACAGACATCTTTTTTGCAACATCACTTTCAACATAGTGTTTTTAATTATGTAAAAAAACTTATTAGCGAGGTTGTATGCACACTTGATTTGCACATTTGAAAGATGGTTACCAAATGATTTCAGGTCATCATATTATCATAAGGTAAAGCTACATCGTCCTCGATGGAATCTCTAGCTTGAGCTAACCGATTCACGTCTTAGTCATAAACTTTCTTTAAAATTGCCTTAAGAACACTACAAATTGCATACAACGTTAAGAAATAATGATTAATTCATAAGATCTTGCAAAGTTTCTGTAGATGTTATATAGAGACAAAGATTTCGATAAATATAATTTTACTTAAAACAAACACTTAAGGGTGGTTACTGTTACTAAACACAAAACTGGACAGTATATTCTTGTTTGGCAAATCTATGGTAGATTCATATCTTACCAACAAAAATAGTTAGAACTTATTATAAGTGTTAATCAAATTAGGTTACAACAGTGTAAATTTTAACATAGTCAGAGCATGAAGTAACTATATTAATTGTTTGCAGAATAGAGTCTTGGCTATTACATTATCTGGTCAAGCACAAATCGGAATAAATTAACTGATCCATTTTCAATCAATAATTTAGCGAACTGAAGATGTTAAACATTGCTGTTCAAGTTTACTGGAATGTACAGTACTAATTTTCAGTTCTTCTTTTGATTTCGGAAGACTCGAGGGATGTTAGACAGTAAAACATAACAATCAATCAAAGCGAGAGTTCTATTCGTCATTACTTTTATTCACATACAGCTCAGAAATGAAAACAAAAAAAAATTAATGCTACGGAGGAATAGGATTAGTTTTTCATACTTACCATCATCAGTAATGGTTTCTGTATGTCTTCTGATTCTTTAGTAGTAAGATCTGTTGTACAATGATATTCACGATTTCTTTGTTGTTTTTTTTTTAGAAAAAGCAAATAATATACGTAAAAAAAAACAAATTTCGCATTGGCATGAAATAAACATTGATTTAAAGAAAATATGTGTAAAAACTAACTAACTAACTACTACTATTACGACCAATAAGAAATTCGATTGCAACCATGAGATAAGAGTATCGTTTGTGAGATACAACTTTACAATTATATATAATATAACACAGTGGCAGGATATACAAGCTAGTATGCTAAATTATGAGTAAAATATACTACAGAAGAGTTGGGAACCATTTAAAAGTGGTATACGATGAAGTGTAGAGAACAGTTTTAATCACAGCTCCACAGAGACTAGGTTAGAAAATTTAGCGCATACTTTAAATACCACATTTTAGTTAAAAATTATTTTGATAAATATAATGCAGACAAATTTGAAAATAAAAAACAGTAGAATTGTTTAACTTGTATGGAAAATCAAATTTCTACAGTAAATCACTTCAAATTCGAATAAAGTTAAACTACTTTCAAACAATAGAAAGTTGAAGAAATTTGATTTAGTAATAATTGAGTAAAACTCGAAGTAATAGCCGATTGTCTACCTTTAAACATGGAACAGAATCTCTGAAGGTGAACGTTTAAATATTTAAGCATGTGCCCCAATAAACCTAAGTCTCAAAATATATGTGTTTGAAGGACCTGTAAACAAAAGTAGATTAGTGTAGATGACCTTGATGATGTGACAGGGTTTTCGTAAAGTTTAGGGGTAAAACACTTGAGGCCAGTTGCGAAGCGACTTCATTGTGAATAGGTTTTATCGCTTTGTTCGTATAATTATCAAATCTTACTGAATACACTATAAATCTATGAGGTAAGATGAAGTAAACTATTTTAAGGGTCAAACTTTTGTGACCTTTTCCTCAATCGTAGAAAGCTGACATCATAGAAGATAGTGATGATTTACGGGAAACACCTTAATACGGCCACATAGTTATTTAACTTCTTATTTGAACCTTAATTTTGACAATTTCGGTTTTCCCGATCTCCAACAAGCCTGTTTAAGATAGTGGAACATGAAGTAATAAATGTGCTAATCAATATAGATCACCGCGTCGTTATGGCAAACAAGCTCAAACACTGGGAAGAAGTAGCAACTATGATTGGAACTGGTGAGGGTCATCAATATTGAGAGTCAAATAAATATAAACGGTAAAACCTGAATAATCGTAATGTTACATCACGAATTGATTGAACTTATAAATGTGAACGATTGGGTTCAAATTTCGCTGCATAATCTGAATGTAATGTCTTAGAACTCTAGTGGGATCGTGGTTGCAAAAGTGGAGAGCATTAAACTAGTTTAGAACACCTGTATAGTACTCCTTGATTTTCAGATAAAGTAAGTTTATGATTTAAAATATCTCATGATTCAGGGAAACTATGAATAAAACGAAATTGAAGCTTAACGAAAAAATAAAAGTTTTGTTTGAAAACTTGGAGTGCCGAAGAAGTATTTTACCATTTACTTTATTAACAATTCATAAGTTTTTCACAGAAAGTTGTTCCTTATTTTAATCAAAGCTTGTATCAAGGCTTATCCCTCAATAATACTATCAATAACCTTGACTGTTTGGTTACATCTAATTCCATTCACGCAGCAACTATATATTGTTCTCGAAGATATTATTTTTGCAACGGTTGGTGTGGATTCGCTTGCACGGTATGAGAAAAAAAAATTTAGGACTAAATTCAACTTTTCTATATTATCTTTTCAGATTTTAATCATCTAACACTGTCGATATAGGGTTGTTTATGGATACTTTATTAAGTTTGTTATTGTTGTTGGAAAAGTGCAGTCGATTCTCACTAGAATTCGTTTTGTTATAAATTATTTGTGTTGATGTTAGGGGAATTATATTGTTCTAATTTTATTACAAATCATCATCCATATCAATTGTTTCAAGTGCACATTTAACAGCTTTTTTTGTACAGATTAAAACAAAGTAGTAAAAAAATCTAAAATAAAATTGGATTAACATAATTAAACTAAAAACTACAATTTAAACAATCATTTGAATACCTTTTAAATACTGTATCTTCTACTCTGATTTCAAAAAGACGTCCACAATATTCACGAATATCATCAGGTGTCAACAGAGATTCTTTTTCTTTGTCTTTAATAGAAAACACCTTGAAAAATAAGATTGGATGCAGCGTCAGAAGGGAAATTACTTTGAATGTGATCAACCTAAACGTTAAATGTAGTTCTGTTACATTTTTTTAAAGCTTACACATATTTATATATTTTAGTTATAGTATTTATGAGCAACTAATTAACTGTACGATTCTTTTGTTCGTACCTTATTGGTTATTTGTAAACTAGCACCCATCTTGTTGGTGAACGTATTTATTTTTCGTTCTGCCATTTGAATTGGTCGCTTTTAACATTATCTCTGTTAAAGTTAAGATACTCTTTTGAGTCCACCAGTCTTGGGCGAGTTTTCCAGTAAGTCTAACAATACCTAAAATTTCAAGCCGGTTTTTTTCCCTAAATCAGTAAGGTGTTAAAATATATTCTGAACAAAACTGGAGATAGAAGAAAAATACTTAGCAGACAATAATCACCTTCATATTTCTTCACATCTAACCTGAGTTTTAACGGCAACAATTTCTTGAGTTCCAGTAGGTGCCTCATTTTGTTTATTGGCAGATACGTTAGATATACGATCAGACTCTGACAGTTGAATATTTGGTGGTGTTGTTAAACAAGATCTTTTGGTTAGATTACCACGTCTAAATTTACGATATCTATTTCCGAAATGAGTTGGTCTATTATATAGGACGTTATTACAAGTACTTGACACTTCTTCAGCTACTTTAGTTAACGAATCTACAGTAAATATAATAGAAACAATGACAAGAATTGTAAAAAAAACAAACGATTTAAAATCCAACTTGAGAATATTGTACAAAAACTTAATATCATCGCTAATACCATATGAATTGGTTGAAATTCCTAAGACGCTTTGATTACATGATCAAGCGCCATCAAATGTAAACCAGAAAGGTGCTTTTTTCATCATTACAGTTCATTTCCGCAAGCCAGGAATAAACTTAATTTAAAGTATGATAGGTCTATCACATAGTATGAATAATATCATTGAGGACAATAGTAATTAGAGTCATATTGTTAGCGGAATATAGATTGGATTAAAGTATGTTCCGTGCAGGATTATGTTGGAGTACGCTGACTGGTCATTTCTTAGCGAATCAGAGCTAGAGGACATTTGGAGAAGACTCTAGAATCTTCTCATGTAAAATTATAGTTACACTCACGTCTTTCTTATCGCGAATTTCACTTTCAGTCAATCTTGTTTATTTGGAATATAATCATATTTCCATCCAACTGTTTTCCGAATCGGGGACTAGTTAAGTGAAGTAGTGTCGAAATAAATACTAAGCAGTAAGACTAGCTGAGTCATCATAAGAGATCATAATACATGTTGGGTAAATCTATTCATTTCAGACTGACATGCGCTAGAAAACTACTAAAAACAAAGAACTGAACGAAGTTAGAAATGTGGACCTTCCAACTCCAAATTATAGGTTAAAAAGGATCTTGTGCTTTATATGGGACATGTATGTCCATGTCGCAAAATGCATTTAATGAACAATGCTGAGGAATCTCAACCTCTATGATAAATTAACCAATAAATAGAACCTGATTTTCAATAGCTCATCATAAGTTGTACGTCGGATAAACCATGGCAAACCTCATAATGTCTCAAGACAACGAGAAAAAAGTGAAGATGAATGAAAACTCGAACGAATAAATGAATCGTTCATTACCAAAGGTCACTCTCGACAACATATTCCTATTAATCTCACAACCTATAAATATAATAAGTTATAAACATTACTATTCGACTTTCGGAAATAAGACTTCCCGTACAGTTTAGGTCTTTTCACCTGTATAGTTAGATAGTTTGAAAGTAGGAGCGTGCATTAGTGGCTAGATTGAAACGTGAAACAACAATATAGCGACAGTCAGTGATGAAAGTTATAGTCAAATCAAACAAATCTCTATAACCAACCTATAAAATGGTTTTTACGTAATAAACTGATCTCTACCTGGCCTTAAGAAATCGAAGTCATGAGACGATTAGGTTAAGTGAGGAAAGAGTTAAGCTATTTTAAGTAGTGTTCTTTTCTCAATCCTACTGTTCATTTCAGGATAAGAAACAATCACTTGACTATTTTATAGATACTCTTTAAGGGGTGGTTCAATGACCAAATGGTTTAACACACCCACTACATGGTAGGTTTAAACCCCTCCCCAACGACTTCAGTGTGGGCAGCCGGGAAGTATCTTCGGCTCACTTTTGGAGTACAGCTAGTAGTCAAGTACACCAACTCGTATTTAGTGAGTGTTAAATCTTCGATTTCCTTTCAAAATCACAAATTGGTTGGTCTTAAAATTTATGGGTATTTTTAAATATTTAATTAGGAAAATTCCAATAAATAAAAAATAATGAAAAATTTCTTACTTTGTAAAGATGATATTTCGTTGGATGAACAATCGATTGAATCTTCGCCAACACCACTACTAACATCGTCATCATTATTCAAACGTGGTTTTTTAGCTCGACTATCATCTTCAAATGAATTCTCTTTTTCATCATCACCAGAAGATAATTCACCTTCTTCTTTATCGGAATTTTTACTTTTCACTACATCAACATCGTGATTAGTATTATTATTATCTTCAGGTAATGAAAACGAGTTATTTCTACTACGACTGAATGATACTGAAACACCATCATTAATTGGTAGCTTATCCTCATGCTTGTTATTTATCACTGACACTTCATCTTCTAACGATTCATTAGATAGGTCTAATCTTTGAACTGTTTGTACATCTTCAGATGGGATGTTTGTTGGTGATTTTTCAAACGGACAGCATACTGTTTCATTATTTAACTCATTTATTGGACTAGTGAATTCTGAAGGGACCTTTGTATATATCATAGTTAATGAATTAATTATATGAAAAAAGACGATAAAAGAATAAAAACGATAATGAAAAGAAAATATCACTGTTAGGTTGACTGGATAAAACTGAGTCGAGTTAGTGATGATACTTTTTGGCATTATAACTATTACGTATATGTAGTATAACCAAAAGTACCATATTTGCATACACACACACGTAAATATTCCATCATTAATTTACTTTCACTACTCAGAATTGACTAATTTGATCATAGATATGGCAAGTTCATTTCCGGAAATGATTTAATATGGAATTAACTAAATGAAATAATATGAATGTTGCTACATACTAAGTTACTACTTGTCTGAACAGTATAGATAGCGAAAATTCGTACTCTACTCTCAAACATCTTTGTTTCAATGGTCAAGAAGAAAGTTTTGTCGAAAAATAGGGAACTATTATTAAATAAATAATATATTTGTAATATCCCAATGAGTAGAAAATTAGATTTTCTGACGTTTCGTGGCTTAGTGTAAGTCACTTCTTCAGAGAATAAATAACCAAATTAAAATTAATCCAAGTTTAAATAGTACAACGGAACAATACAAGAATAATATTTGATCAATCAAAAAACAGATATGAACAAGTTGATGTCATGTCATTTTTGTCAAGGTGATTCATAAGTGACGTGTATGTAAATTTGCATGTGTATGTATGTGTGCATTGTTTAAGAATGAAAAATTGTGTGACCTTTATGGTAAGATGGGATAGAGTTTAAATTTGTAATATGATAGTGTGAATTTGTAAATATGATCAGACTGAGTGGCTAGGATAAATGGTCCAAGTAGGATGTATGGTAAGGCCTTCCTTTCTGTTGAGAGAAGTAGGATTAAGTATTATATGGAACGCCTCAGCTACCCTTCTTTCTTTGTAGTTGGAAAAGCCTTTTTGCAATATTTTGATATTTTTAAAATCGATTTGGTGGTTGTTGAAAATGGCATGAACTGCTATTGCCGATTTAATTTGAAGTTGGTTCAATTCTACAGGATTGTTAGGAGGTTTCTTTGTGTGCCTAATATGTTCTTTGACTCTAGTCAAGATTTCGCGGGATGACTCTCCGATATAATAAGCATCACAATCGATACAACCTAATTTGTAGACGCAGTTTTGTGTGTACATGAAGGGGATTTTGTCTTTTAGGTGAACTAAAGTATTACGTAGTGTGTTCGTTGTTTTGTAGTATACTTTAATTCTGTGTTGTTTCAAGATTCTTTGGATTTCTTCTGTTGTGCCATGACGGTATGGTAAAACTGCAGTACCAATCCATGGTATTTCATTCGAATCATTATTATAACGTAATGAACTGTTTTGTTTTAATATGCTTCTAATAATCTTCAAAGGAAAATTATTAAATTGTAAGATGTTAATTATATTCGTTTGTTCTTTTTGTTTGTCTTCCTTTGATGTGATGATCTTGTTAGCTCTTCTAAAAAGATTTAAGGCTAGCGAGATCTTAGCACTGAAAGGATGTGCTGAATGGAAGTCAATGTAACGATTTGAGTGCGTCGGTTTAGACTTCCATTTGGATTTCTTTTTACTAAGCAATCTAAGAATGGTAGCTCACCATGTACATTTTCATTTTCATTGGTGAATTTGATGTGCGATGAAAGTGTATTTATTCGTTTTGAATTACAAACCACGATATCCAACCTTTTTACAGAAAGAGAACGCCACTATTTAAATTCATCGAAACTCCGACAAATTAAAAAATTCGAAAACATCAAAGAAAAGAAGAAAGATAAGAAAACATCAACAATAAAATCTAATTCGAATGATCTAAGAAGAACTGTTCATAATCTCTCGAACAGAAACTTAAACAGTCACGAAATCACTCTACTGGAGAAAGGACTAAATTTCAATTTACATAGAAAACCACTTAGCACTCTTGAAATTGCCCCTATTATAGAACCAATAATCGCACAACTACCGGAAAAGGAGTCGCATTTACTTCGTCAAAAGACATCCCATATTCTGACTAAACAAAAACACATTACACCTAACATTTCAAAAGAACAATTGGAGGCTCTGCATTCACTTAAAAAAGACATAAAACCGTGAGACATTACATGATTTGGGATGCAAAGCAAACCAAAGCGAGATTCCAATGATTGGTTTTAGCTCGTTTAGAAGTTGACTTGTTTCTAATTTGACTTTATTCTTAATCGTTAGAGAAATTTTTTGATTGATCTTTTCATAAGGTCCTGTTGAGAGATGTTCAAGAGCTTTATTAATATAATCTGTTTTATTCATGATTACTGTTGTGTTGCCTTTGTCGGCTTTTGTTATGATAATCGTTTTGTCTTTTTTAAGTGAATGCAGAGCCTCCAATTGTTCTTTTGAAATGTTAGGTGTAATGTGTTTTTGTTTAGTCAGAATATGGGATGTCTTTTGACGAAGTAAATGCGACTCCTTTTCCGGTAGTTGTGCGATTATTGGTTCTATAATAGGGGCAATTTCAAGAGTGCTAAGTGGTTTTCTATGTAAATTGAAATTTAGTCCTTTCTCCAGTAGAGTGATTTCGTGACTGTTTAAGTTTCTGTTCGAGAGATTATGAACAGTTCTTCTTAGATCATTCGAATTAGATTTTATTGTTGATGTTTTCTTATCTTTCTTCTTTTCTTTGATGTTTTCGAATTTTTTAATTTGTCGGAGTTTCGATGAATTTAAATAGTGGCGTTCTCTTTCTGTAAAAAGGTTGGATATCGTGGTTTGTAATTCAAAACGAATAAATACACTTTCATCGCACATCAAATTCACCAATGAAAATGAAAATGTACATGGTGAGCTACCATTCTTAGATTGCTTAGTAAAAAGAAATCCAAATGGAAGTCTAAACCGACGCACTCAAATCGTTACATTGACTTCCATTCAGCACATCCTTTCAGTGCTAAGATCTCGCTAGCCTTAAATCTTTTTAGAAGAGCTAACAAGATCATCACATCAAAGGAAGACAAACAAAAAGAACAAACGAATATAATTAACATCTTACAATTTAATAATTTTCCTTTGAAGATTATTAGAAGCATATTAAAACAAAACAGTTCATTACGTTATAATAATGATTCGAATGAAATACCATGGATTGGTACTGCAGTTTTACCATACCGTCATGGCACAACAGAAGAAATCCAAAGAATCTTGAAACAACACAGAATTAAAGTATACTACAAAACAACGAACACACTACGTAATACTTTAGTTCACCTAAAAGACAAAATCCCCTTCATGTACACACAAAACTGCGTCTACAAATTAGGTTGTATCGATTGTGATGCTTATTATATCGGAGAGTCATCCCGCGAAATCTTGACTAGAGTCAAAGAACATATTAGGCACACAAAGAAACCTCCTAACAATCCTGTAGAATTGAACCAACTTCAAATTAAATCGGCAATAGCAGTTCATGCCATTTTCAACAACCACCAAATCGATTTTAAAAATATCAAAATATTGCAAAAAGGCTTTTCCAACTACAAAGAAAGAAGGGTAGCTGAGGCGTTCCATATAATACTTAATCCTACTTCTCTCAACAGAAAGGAAGGCCTTACCATACATCCTACTTGGACCATTTATCCTAGCCACTCAGTCTGATCATATTTACAAATTCACACTATCATATTACAAATTTAAACTCTATCCCATCTTACCATAAAGGTCACACAATTTTTCATTCTTAAACAATGCACACATACATACACATGCAAATTTACATACACGTCACTTATGAATCACCTTGACAAAAATGACATGACATCAACTTGTTCATATCTGTTTTTTGATTGATCAAATATTATTCTTGTATTGTTCCGTTGTACTATTTAAACTTGGATTAATTTTAATTTGGTTATTTATTCTCTGAAGAAGTGACTTACACTAAGCCACGAAACGTCAGAAAATCTAATTTTCTACTCATTGGGATATTACAAATATATTATTTATTTATAACAATCAACCCAATGCTCAATTTATTCGAAATTATCAAATCAAACCTTGGTAATGATACCTAGAAACTATTATTAATTTCGTTTTTTACTATAGCACTCAACAAGCTGAAGAAGAAAGTAGACAGAAAAGCCAAGCGTTCTGGGAAAAAAACTCCAGCAAAATTACCAAAAGAAAGAAAAGACTCTCTATCCGAATATGAGATAATTGCAGTCTGAAACGGTTATGTATTATTGTGCTAATGATTTCATCAATACAGAGTCCGTTATACGTACAAAGAACCTTCGTAAAAAACGTACGGTGAAGTATAAAAATCCAAACCTTTATTTAACTTGTAGTAGTCTGAAGTTCGTATGAAGCGACAATTGCTTTGTATATAAATGAGCACCTTGTTCTAATTCTATTACACTACCATTTGCATTCATGGTCTTCTTCCCATTTTTGTGAACTGGTCCGTTCGTAGCTAGTGCAATACTTTCTGAACAGACTCAAGAGTTTGTATATTTCACACTAAATTTAATACTATTACTTATTATATTTACGTTTGGTAATCAAACTAAAAGGCGACAACAGTCCAACAAGTCATACACTGTTGGTTTGCGCCATAATGGGGTCCCTTTGATAACGGCGAACAGCGGTTGGACACTGAAAGCGACATGGCGCAAATGAATTTACTTCTTATCTTCCTCTAGATCTAAGGTCCCAGTGTTGCTTTACAAATACTTTTTTATTTTATCTTCGGAAATTCTATTTTCAGTGTTTAATTTTCATCACTAATATTTCTACTAAAATCGTTTAAAATTATTTGTTATTCATCTTGTTCATTTTATCTGACTTTTCCAAGGTTCTACGTTGATGTAAGTGAACAATTAAGAAGGTAGGATAGACGACAATCATCGTAGCAACACATTCAAAATATCAAAATGAGTCTTAGACATGGTAGAAAAAAGTATAAATAGCACGCTAAGTGTTTAAATCAAGACCGGGGCTGCACAGTTTCAATGGACCTGATTTTACGTACCCAAGCGGGTGCAATTGACAGCTTGGTATTATTATTATTATGTAGCTGGTAACTAGTGATTGTCTTTAAGTAAAAAATCCTTGACAACTATGTGAAATGAATGTGAATTTAGGAAATGAAACCATATATACTCATCTATTTTTAGTCTGACTACAAACTATGAACTACGGAAAACATTATAATGAAAGTTACAAATGTATTTGTTTAGCAAGCGATAGAAATCTTGATATTGTAGACAAACATATGTATAGATACAATGGCAAAATAATTCTCCGTTCAGGGATGAAAGAGTAAATAACTAAGAGAGAAATAAAATAAATACTGAGTGTGATGGTAAATGCCATACCGAAAGGAAATCCATAAATTATGAAGTAAAAATGAACTCGTTAGTTTCGAATGGATAGTTGTGCGAAAAGTTATGAATGTTTGTTGAAAGAATTTTAACAAGTTAGAAGATTATATGATAAAAGTTATTGGAAAAGATTAATTTCTTACAATTTTTTAATCTAGGATAACATGCATGATCAATCACCAAAGTACATCAATACAGTGCTGGAAATTTACCTTATGAGATTCAGTTGGATAAAAATTTTTTCCACTAGCTTTACGATAAGCCAAACATGGAATAGCCGATACAGGAATACGATGGTGACGTACACTACTCGGTCCAATAGAGTATGGTCTTGAAAGTGTCACCACTCGGCTTGATCTGTGTAAATATACATTAAGTCCAGAAATATGACGTAGTTGGAGCCAACCCTCGGGTAGTAGACCAAAATCAACTGTTTCAACCATATCTATTGTTAAGAAGTAATAATGTTGTTCGGGAAAAAACTTATTGTAAAATTAATCTACACATGTTAATATAAATGAGGTTACTTAGGTTTCAACTATGTATTCAAATGTCAAGGATACAAAATGAAAATTTTTCAAAAAGAAAAGTGCTACTCCCTTTTTAGAAAGAGCGACATTTTGTATAAGAAACAGAATCAAGTCAGTAACTTGATTCTTTTCATGACATTTTCAGTTATTTTCATCACATCAATATCAGTAAAGGGTCGGGAAAAATCAGGTAGAACGTATCTTATAGTAGAATACCTCATAAACACACACGCATAACCCACTTTGAGATCGAACAAAGAAAATTGTAAAGCTGTGCAACAAGAAAATCTCTAGAATATTTATTTTGATGTGTGGCTGATGTACTTAACTATAGTTAATGACAGAATAAGAGTTTCGGCAAAGGAAACCTATGTTTTTTTAAACATGATCGGTGTAAACTAGTAATCGGTGGTCCATGTGCTGATGTCGATTTACGGAGAAAACCATACTAAGATAGTTACCAAATCTTTTGAGTACAACGACGTAGATTATCTTAAGTTCTTGAATTTCATCTTAATAGACCGGATAACTTATCTACTCTCGAGTCACTCAAAACTTTAAATGCCACCATTAAATATCTAAACAATGAGTCTTGTTAAATATAATTACTTATGTGAAACCAAATCGAATGAATATGTGGAATATTTCATGTGTACCCTTTTTGCCTGGTTTGATGATTATAAAGGATTTTATTCAAAGTCCATGATAGTTTTGCTTTTCTTCACAAAACGTGGGACAAACTCCATCTTTCCGAAATCGTTATTAGCACATTTACATTCGATAAGGAACAGATATCTACTCAGACACTGTAAACTTATTATTATTAGGATGAGAAAATGTTAGAAATACGTTTCCCCATCTCCGAGTTCGGAATATTACTTTAGGGTTGGTGTGCGTGAATGTTTATTCTAACTTAATGGGTTGTAAACAAGTAATAACATCTCAATTCGTATACTTATTTGTCGATATCCTCTTTACACATAGACTGTGTACTATGGAAACTGTCAGTCAAGAAAATGGATGTTTAAATTGGCACAGGCAATTATATCTTATTCATAAGGAATAAAACTTCTGCAAATATATTAAATTTAAAAATGATCGTATTCATAAACCATCTTACGAAAGTAAGAATGAATGCAATTTTTCATCCATGTTAGAACGGTGAGTTATTAATACAAAACAAACCTTTGTGGTAGTCATTTACCAGTGGTTGAACAGAATTACCGTCCCACACTAACAAGCTGTGGTTAACATCCTTCAGTGGGGAACAATGCCCCCAAATGCCCTGGTACGGCTGAGAGTGGGGAGAGTCCGCTCTCCCTCTCGAAATGCTCTCACATGGCCATGCGTATATAGCCTCTGCCAGGAAAGTCCTACTCATTGCCTTCTCGTGGCGGGGGTGTTGTTTACGAAAATGAGAGGACGAAAAGCGAATGTCCGGCGCTATAACCGGATCCCAAACCAATGGTGCACATGGGCTAGCTCCAGTATCCTGAAGGAACAAATGGCGTATGAACCAATCGTTGGTCACCGGCTACCATGGGACTGCATCTCCTCACGATGCTCCACTGCCTTGTGGGTCAGACGTTCAGGTCGAAGGCTCGGGGTGTGGCCCCCTAAGAAAACCACCTGCTTTGGTTTGGGCACCCGGGCAGTATCACAGCCCTCACACAAATCAAAATTGATTTGTGTGGCGCATATGTACTTGGTGCCTCCCTTACCTATACTTATGTGTCAAAATAAAATAAAATAAAATAAACAATGCATAGTTACTTAGCTACCATAACAATATTCTATCATGCCATAACCGTTTAATAATGGTTGTTATCGAAACCCGATTTTGAATAATTACGCTGATATGAATTCGGATCCATTCATTCATGATATGTAAGTATGTTACACATAGAAATGTAGTAACAATAGTTTTATGATGAAAATTATAACCACTACCAAAAAGGTAATCTTCAATATCAGATCAACTTAGCCACTAAAAGTGAATCACAATCGCTCATCAGGGCCCGTTACTCTTCCTTGCTTTAAGCTAATTATGGACTTTTTAACCTCACTAATAACTGAGTGACTTGTATCAGTTCTCTATTCAGGTTGTTAGGAGAGAAGAACTAGGTTAGTTGTTTCAGAATGTGTGTAAAACAACGAGCTGAATTGTTCGCATATCCCTTAAAACACTAATCTAATGAAATTATGGTCAGCCTGAACATGCAAAACATCTTGAAAACTAATGATTACAAGACCGGATTGCTAAGTTTTATTTCACCGGAGAAATAATGAGACCAAGAATTAAAATTACCTTCTGTGAAAACCGCTAAGTTACGTGAACTCAGCTAGTATTCCATTAAAAATTTCAAGTGATAACTTCTTAAAGGAAGTGTATTTGGGAAATCTCGAAAGCTTTGTAACATATGTTGCCCCAAACTTATTACATAGAAATGTTCATATGAATGTAAATAACAAATATACTAACCATTTATTACAAAACGCCTTTCCTTTATAACGGAGCGCTTTCGCTTGAACTCCATACCATCACATACATTAATATTTGAATTCACATTTGGAATGTCTCCACTAGACTCTTCTTTAACTATAGTTCCCAAAGATTTTGTACCATCATTCTTTATTTTACAATCTTTAGATGACAAAAACAATATATTACCTCATCACCCAATGAACCATCGCACAATTGCACGTCCATAATGTTATTTAACAGTTAACTATAGTAGTGTTATTCAGTAGTTCACAATATACCCGTTGTCGTATTACAAAATGAACTTCACTAAAGTTCTTTCTGAAATAGAAAAAACGTAGCAGTTTGAAGCTCACTTAGAAAACTCACACATTCATATGACTTTTTCCCTAAACTTTCCTGCTTTTTAGTGATTTACACTATGTAGAAGTACCTGTCTAGATACATGGACATGAATTTAAGAAACACTCAAAATATAATTACATCTGAACTTAAATTCCATTCTTTATGTAAAGTTCACACGAAATTTACGCAAGCTTAGAGAAGGGGATCATACTTACATAACTATTATTAAAGTGCATTTCAAAAAAAGAGAACACATGAGATTATCTGACCATTAGTACTTGAAAAATATATAATTAATAACGTTGAAGACCACAATATATCAAACGCCATAAATTCAGGATTATTTTTTGACGCACACTATCAATATGTGATCTAAATCTGCTAACCAAAAGGTATTATCAGATCCTCTGGGGTTGCATGCCACCGAGGTAATGAGATTCGGTAGGTTGGTCGGTGATGAGCTTTTACCTGAATGGATCTTAAAATTAATGCTAGGGAGTCGTGGGGAACGAGACTATTATAAGAAATGCACAGAATGTTTGGAATTGAAATATCTGTAACTAGCTGGATTCGCCAATTGAAGATCGGATGAAATAGAGAAAATCTTTATCCAAGTCAAAGATTCAACAGGAGGATAGGTAGAAAAACTTTAGAATTCGGGTTTAATTTGTAGAGGTTTTGACTTATCCCGTTATTGGTGTACTTGACTGAATTTTGATTAGTCCTAGTTGACATGTATGTATCCTGTGCAAATTGCCTCGATACAACCTTTTTTGAAACGTTCTATAGAAGGGATAAATTTTGGCTACCAATGGGATGCAGGACGTGCGTTTCGTCTCACTCAGGAGTCTTCAGCTGGTGCACCTGCATCCCAGAGTTGATGTTCATCCCGAAATTCGAACCCAGTGTCTTTCGCTTCAAGTGCCAGTAGATAATGAGTTGGCATTTAAAGCGAAAGGTATCGAATTCAAATCCCATGGTGAATATCGACTTTGGGATGCAAGTACACTCAGTTAACGAGTCCCAGATAGGAGGGAATGAACATTCTGGATTCCACTGTTAGTCTATCTCTTCCATAAAACTTAGAACTCAGGGTTTTCAGTTGATGAGGTTTTAGAGACCAATGCTTCAGAAATCCCTTAAGCACCCTGAGCTTATACTAAATAAGCATCTGCAATCTTAGAATTAACGCTATGCTTTTTGGTGGAAGAATTGAGAGTCAACACAGTCACTATCATAAAACATGGTTCGTAAGAGATCCGGAAACTACTACTTCTCATAGAGTACATGCTTACACTCTTACTCGTGTAACTTTATACATTGGAGTCATACGGTAGTGACAAGTGTGAATAGCCAGCCGTTTAATCATTTCAAAGTAGGTTTTGATGGCCAGTAATGGTACCGTAGCTCAAGTTGTCTTGGAATTACTTTATAAGCAGAGATAATGGTGGCTAGAAGTGAAATCCAGTAATAGACTAATCAGTTACAGTCCTAAGCATCAATGAGAAGATTCAAACAGCTAATACAAAAATGGGGATGACTATGTTTTCTTTCGGTATTCATCTTGACCGTTTTATTTCTTGTACTGATGTGGCTCAGCAACTAGAGCCGATAGATATTTAAGCCATGATCTAGGTTGTTTTTTATTGCTTTTGTTGTCAGTCGCATCTGTACTTGGAGCAAGACTGACGGTCATTCTGTCTTTGCGAATTTAAACGGACTCTATATCAACAGAAGCCGTTCAGACAGTTATTGCCTTTGTTAACAGACAACCTACAACTGTGGAGAGTTACAAGTACTGGTGATGATAGACCAAAGCTCTTATTTGATGCAAGTGAATTAGACGTTACAAAAGTTAGCTTCAAAGAATAAACTTTGGGGTTGATAGCCACTCATACACCGATCGTATACCACTCTCATACACTTTGAAATAAAAAACTTAGGTGTAATCATAAGCCATGAAAACGACTGAATACTGCAATCTATTAGCTGCTAAGACGCTTTGTGGGTTACGGACACTTCAAAGAAAGTGGTTAAACAAATACTTTGTACCCCATCAAAATGCTACATCCAAGCGTTAATTACGCAATTAATTAAAGATTAAGATACTTTCGGACATGTACAAAGAGGTACTAATTTGATAATAGGACATTATAGTATCTCTTATAAAGTGAAGGCTAGTCGCTTAGCTCTATTTCCATTGTGAGATGATCTCATACCTGGATCCCGTATTTTAAATAAGAAATTAGTTGGGTCTAGTCTTTTTGCTTCCTCTAAGAGCAACCATTTTGGAGGCTATCATGAAATGGTTTTCAAACTACGATCGAATAAACTTGGGTTATTATTTCGTCCTTATATAGTGATCAACGGATGGAACACCCCTACTCGAAAGTGATATTGGACTTATCAGTAAGTGATTCCAGAGAGAAAACTGGATTTTCACGGAAATATAAACCACAAGTATTATTGCAGACAAAGCAGCATATCTTAATTACTAAATATTGAGTAATTGTGGTGCTTGTATGAACTAATGATTCCTTTGTACTTGATGTCTGCCTGAAAGCGAATGCTACCAAAGCCTGGGTGGATAGGCCGTTCTACCTGAGTTTTGTATGCCAACGCTCGTAGTCTAAGAAATAAATCTTGTGACCTAGAAACATTAGTTGACAAATTAAGGCCACTTATTGTAGCAGTGACATAAACTTGGTTAGTCCATGACTTGGACATTACTCCAGAATTATCCGGATACCACTACCTAAGGAGTGATAGACATAGATGTAGAAAAGGTGGCATTCTTTTACATATAGCCAATAATATAAATATCCGCTTCTCTGTTAACGAATCCCATGATAGCGGTACTTGCGAAGTCATTAGCTGTGAATCGGCTATCGTACGTCGTACATTTATACTCGGTGTCATCTATCACAGCCCGATTTGCTTAGCTTATGGCTTTATTTTAGAGCACATTCAGCTTTGGAATGTAAATAACAGATGCTTGATAATAGGAGACTTTAATGCACCTGATATTAGTTGGACTGAGATGACCACGGAAGGATCTATAAAGATCGGAATATTCCTGTAGATGTAATCTTCATAGATCTAAGTAAGGCCTTCGATAAGGTCTTTCATTCTGACCTTAAATTCAAACTGGAACGTTTTGAAATCCATTATACCGTCGTAATTTGGATAAGTAACTTTCTCCATGACAGGAGACAAAGGGTAAGGGTTAATGGAACTCTCTCCTCGTGGGTACCTGTAAAAAGTGGAGTTCCCCAAGGTACAATCCTCGGTCCTCTTTTCTTTTTACTTTATGTAAATGAATTACCAACTGTAGCAAAATCATCCGTTCTACTTTTCGCTGGTGACAAAAATTTGGAGACCCATACACAGTATGTCGGATAGAATAGTATTACAGGATGATCTTAGCTCATTGGTGGCATGGTTGGACAAGTGGTCACTAGAAGTAAATCCTAACAAGAGTGTGGTGACGCAATTAAATAACTGTGATGATTCGTATCACTACACAACATGCGGATTCGTGCTACCCAAAGTAGGAAACTATAGATTTAGGAGTCATATTAAGCAGTGATCTCAAAACCACCAGTCACTGTGAGGCTGCTGCTACAAAAGGCTATAGGGTTTTATGATTTATTCGTAGGTCTTTCCAGTATTTAGATGATGAAATGTGGGGCCGCATTTAAAATATGGGATTCAAGCAGCGAGTTCTTGTTTCAAGTATGAAGCAGATATGCTGGAAAGAGTCCAACGAGATGGTAAAAGGTCTATCTGGCCTATTTTATGAAGACGGACTGTGATAACTTATTTCCGTTATCTTACAGTAGAATACGGGGTGATCTAATAGGCTTATCGTATACTGGACGATGACCTTGGTATTAACATGTTTTATCTTTTACTTCCGTCTAGGACTGATAATTCGAGAGGATATTGGAATAAAGTGCAAAAACCGAGATCAAATGGCTTACGTATAGAGTTTCGTTTCTCGCACCGAGTAGTGAATTACTGGGATTTTCTACCGGAACACGTAATATCAGTCAGTCAGCTGCAACGTAGGACAAGGCACATATATGCATCGGTCCAACTTGCAGTACCGCATTAGCACAACAAGATGAACACCGGATTCAGAGAAGCAATTAATTCAATCATGGTAATATATAAAAGAAAGACTGCATGTAAGGAAATAGTACAGGAAGAAAGAATTAATTCGTAGAAAGAAAGATATGAAGCGATTTTAACCTCACAGATTAAGAGAAGACAAACAGTGTATACACCTACGCCATTCTGATCGATTCTGAGCCATGTCACCAAGAGCCTCCAACCATTGGTCACGATAGTCACGCAGACCCCAACCAAATAGTCTGCGTCTACCAACATGGCTCAGACTAGAAGTTAGTGACTTGAAGCACTGATGCCACGTTTTGGTTTGGCTGCCTTCAACTTTCTTCCAATCATCCCTAAAACCGGTTAGCAATGCGCGTTGTGGTAATCGGTGTTCAGGCATACTTAACGTGTGACCCAACCATCTGAGTCGATGAAGATTTACAATCTCATCAACTGATTTACCATCATTTCCTATTACTCTGTGTATCTAACCTCACTATTACTTACCCAGTGATCCCAGCAGATGCGAGCAATATTTCTAAGGCATTAGTGGTCAAATACTAGTAACTTACGAGTATCTTCTACTCTTAAAGGCCATGTTTCGCAGCCATATAGTAGAACGGAACGAACTGTTGCGCAGTATACTCGTCCCTTAATTGATAGACGGATATCTGGCCTTCACCATAGATGACGTAAGTTGGCGAAAGCTAAACGAGCTTTTCGAATCCGTGCCGAGATTTCGTCAGACACCAACCCATTAGGGCTGATCAGACTTCCAAGATAAGCGAAGTTGTCAATGCGTTCGACTACTTCACTCCCTATCTTTAGTTCAGGTGTTGACGCAGGCCAGTCCTGAAGCAACAACTTGCGTTTAGAGGGAGAGAAGCGCATCCCAAACATTCTGGCATTGTCGCTCAGTGCTACCAAAGGACTCTGTATTTTACCAGCATCGTCACCAAGCAGGACTATATCATCTGCGTATTCTAAGTCGATAAGTGGACCTCCTGTTAGATCAATACCCGAGAATTCAGTCGATGAGACGTAATATCAGCACTTTCTGTTGATATTTTCAAAATGAGATTGGACCTCCACAGTGCTACAAAATGCAAGGATTAATATAGGTCGATAGACCTTCTATCCTTCTTACTGAAGAGTGACTGAATTCCAAATCACGAACCCTTCAAATTGATACCTATTTAGGTTGCCAAGTCCTACTAATCTATGGAAAAGATAAGAAGACTTCAAATTTCCTTTACAGTAACTACAATGTCGTTTATGGTCTGTCATCTTACTTAACTTGTATTTCTAGTAAAAAGCTGAGCGGTCCTCTATCTCAAAATAGCGTTAGCTGTGACATGAAAATCTTTCTAAAATATCTTGACTAGCGGTCGAAGGCATATGTGTTAATGTGCAGAATTAGTTTGGTAAGGGATTTAACAACAATCAGAATATTAGTTCTCGTGGGTACACTGTATCCAGAAGCCTTATAACTTATATGTTATAAAATATCTTTGTGGCCGACTACAATATAGTTGTGTACGAGTTCCTCGGATCTTTGATTTAAATGCAGACTATTCATATTATGCATTTCCCTTTTTTCTGTTCTAATTTCTTCTTGGTGAGCCGAAATTTTACGATCAATCGGGATGATAGTGATCTTTTCCTTATTTTACAAAACTATAGTTTTGTAACGTTAGCAGGTCTGGAAACACCTAGAAATGCTCATAAATTGTAGTCATCCACTGTAGCTACATGTTTTAGAACTTAAAGTGTGCCCATAACACCAAATACCTGGTGTTATAGATTCCATAAGCTTTAAAATAACTTCGTTAGTGAAAGATTTTCTGGCTTTCCGTCAAATGGAAGACTGAAATGACCCTAAAGTGAAATAAAGGTATAAATAATAAAGAAATATCACCACGCCAACATATACGCTTAGACTTACCGACTTTATAACTTATGAGCGTCGTCCTTTGGCTATTCCCAAAAAGACCAATCAGAACTATCCTATTTAGCTATTGGCTACTTTAGATCAAATATTTTGAGTGATGCACCAAGGTTAACCATCTGTGAGTCTATGTCCAATTTCAGTGACTTTTGGTGACCGGATTTCGTAGTTCATTCATCTATGTAGAGTGTTATGGGTTAATTTTCTCATTTAATGACTTTGTTTTGTTGTTTTTACGATGTTATTGTAGTTGTCGTTATTTCTAGTTTCAGTTTCAGTTTGAAAAGGACATGAGTCTGAGTGGACTGTGTAAGTCCTGGAAATGCTAATCTCTCAGTGGATCCAACCTCCAGAGTTGACTAATGGAGCTTCAACCACATGTTAATGTTACAAGTCCCACTCGTTGATGGTCCGGTGGGTCGACAGTCAGCTGGCTAGTGATTTGTCCAAGGTTTGTGAACATTTTAATGTTCTCGTAATTTCTATGTTTTAGAAGATGAAAAAAATGATGTCACATCAGATTCAAACTTCCTGACGTTGAGATTCAGTCTCTTCAGTACCGAATGGTCTAAATATCTCCCACATTCTTCTGTTACGAGAAGAGAGAGAACCTCTTTATTTAACCATGTTGTGGAGTTTCTCGAACTTCTTGGTGTAGTCCAAGATATGTGTGGTGCAGTGACTTTTGTACACATTCTTTTGAGTACCTTCCAAACCGTTTCAATGAGAGATTAAGGTTTTATTATCCGATCTGTTGAGGATGCTGTGTGTATAATATCTTCAATATTTACTTTCCAGATGTTTGGTTTGGCTCGGGGTGACACATCTTCGTTATTGACAACGAAATGGAAATGAGAGACTAGAACTGCATGGTCACTATTAACTAGGGTCGGAATATAATGGAGGTTTGTTAAATCATCCTTATAATCGTTAAATATGAGACTTAATGGAGATGACTGGAAGTCTGGGACTCATCTTGAATTAAGGCATGTGATAATCGCATCAACTAGATTCTGTTTGGAGGAATTTTCTGAAAAATCAGTCCCTCGAATTTTCCAGTCATGGGATGTGTTGTCAAAGATGGTCAATGGGATAGCATTTCTAATGAATAGAGCTATTCCTTCTTTACGCTTTTGGAATCTATTGGCTCTTTCTGATGTGACACTTTCGAAATCAGGTTTCCCTTTGTCTGCAAACTGTGTCAGCCAAGCTTCTGTGACAACGGTTACATCCGGCTTGGAAGAGCCTCTCTGTACATCTAGCTCCGATCGCTTATATTAGTAAGCTACAGGCATTTGTAAAAAAGATCCGAATACTGCTTAAATGGCTTCATGCTGTACCCAAGGTGGCTCCGGAATCATTTTCCATCGAAGCCTTACCATCTGAGAATTCACAATTCTAAGGTCCTTCTTATCAGCATCTAACATTAGTTTAATTTCTTTTTGCAGTATCACAGCCCTCACATATATCCAATGAGATCTGTGTGGCGCATATTTATTCGCTGCCTCCTTGTACCGATATCTATGTGTTAAAATAATAAAATAACAATAATTTCTTTTTCAGCTTTTCGTCCGTTTATAGTGTCCGCAAGCGGCAAGTCTTGACGGAAAAAACTCATGACCCCTTTGGTTAACGTTCCCTCCGTAGTATTAGGTCTCTTTGTTTTGGAGTTTTAAATGTCACTTTTAGCAGCCTAGTTTGATTCTGTTTCAAGTCCGTTTTACTACCAATTCTATAAATCCTAAGCAGGGTACCTCCAGTGATATCTTAGGGCACCAGCTGGCTTAGTAGATCTCTTATCAACCCAATGTCGTGCTCAAAGCGATTTCTGGGTTCTGAGCTTTATTCTCTTTGACTCTATGAAAGAAAATCGATCTGCCATTATGATCAGTCTTCAGTTTCTCAGATAATGTTCAAAGGGCTGGCTTTTCTTTAACAGGATTGTCATTTCTTGTTCTTAATCTGTACTAATTCATCACCTTTCGTTGAATTAGCAATCACAGTCGCATTACTCACACTATGCGCCCCTGGATGATTGTCGATGATTGGGTGGTGAGGTTTTCCTTTCGCGCTAGAAACAGGCGTATCGTTACTATTAGGCTGTCTAGATGTTTTCTGTCTGCTTCCATTTGGAGTGCGGGGACAGAAGAAATTTCTTTGCCTGATCTCTCTGAACTCGTTCCTTCGTTCATTGGCCTATGTAAGTCAATTGACTCTGGTAAATGACTAATCATCGCGTCACTATGAATGGTGGGAAATTTTTAAGAATGTTTTGACGCTTGATTTTTGCTACATAACTCCACAGAAGATGAGATTTCACTTCGATTTGCAACTGATAATGATAGGCAAGTACATAGTTCATCAAAGAATTCAGCATGTCACCATAAAGCGATCCTACTTCTGACCAACATACTACAAAGTTTACAGACCGATCACTTATACGTGACTAGACCATCAGACGTTTTATTACACAGCATCAAACGGGCATTTAATCGTGATTTCGGTGAACATCTGCACACCCAACTTTATGACTGTCTGATCGCTTGTACAAGTGATCCGAAATTAGGAAAGCAGCTTGTTAAAATTTCTTTCTGCAATTGTTTAGCAATACAATACGTTTACTTTACTTATGATGTCAAGGGTGATCATCGACATGCCGTTACGAATCAAGACGATGTTTACTGTCAATGAATCTAACATTCGACAAGGACATAAAATTCCTTTTAAAACTAGTGGTTTCAATTCACTCGGGAGGATGAATAATTAGTAGTCTTTTAATTTGTTTTTGAGTGCCTAATCCTGACTTTTATGTGGTAAACTGCACCTTTGTAGTTCATGTAGTTGTCACAATGTATGTTGCCGTAAATGTAGGAAGGTTGGACATATACAAGAAGTCCGTAGTAGTTCTTAGTCATTTATTACTAAAACACTGAGAAATTGTGGGTCAAGACCGGCTGATAGGTTTGTGATCGCTTAAAATGTCTGCAAAAGTATTACACACTTAATCCAGAAGTTAATTGCAAACACACGCATGTATCACCCATTTATTGTTGATGCTGCTGTTATATAGTCAATTATTTACGAGGGACTTGTTGTTTTATTGTATTGATGTTGATTTAAGACCTACAAGTAGTGCGAATAATATTCTTTTGAAGAAAGACGAAAATAGTTGTGTCAACTTTTCCTATTTGGTGAGTATGGCTCGTCTGTGCTTCGGTTAAAAGGACTTTCTGATCTATTGATGGTAGGTGGTTGAGTGGTTGGGTAAAGAAGTGTTTTGTTAGGTGAGTAAGTAGTCAAACAATTAAGTAAATTGATCAAGACTTATTTTGGTTATCATGGGATTCAGCAGATGCTACTGTTTGTGCTGCTACTGTTGGACTGTTGTGACAAATGTGGTATTTTCCTGTGTATTGGATCCTCTTGGTTTGTGGATGTAACGTGTGAGACAGTTTAAGAGGAGTAAAAAGTAGGTTGGAATAGGATTATGTGAGGATGGCTGATATAAAGACAATGTGAAGGTGAGTAGTAGACGTACAAATAAAAGTTTGTTTGCTGTGTGAAGTATGAAAATCCAACTAGTACTTTTAGAAGTGAAGGGAGTGTGATGTCGGTTATTACGTTAAGCCCATATAACTTATTTTAGCTTCTGGACAGGCCAATTCATCCGTTGTTCTCGAGTCATGTTTTCATTTTGTTAATTATTTACTAATCAGCGTTGACTGATTTTATATGGGCGTGTGAGCATTTCTTATTCTGTTCATCACGTCTGTAACGTATTTCTGTATGACAACAAATATTGATTCACACTTAATCAATTTCCTTTTCCTCTTTTATCCTTAATATACCTAGCTTCCTGCTGGGAGGTATGAGTGATCCACTACTACCAGACATGAAAGCCTGTTAAGCAAAAGCTTCTTCTCTTCCGTTTACAGCCATTTGGACCATTTAAACCATCTTAATTAAATTGAAATGGCTCACACTTTATCCCCACTGCACGTCATTTTGCTCCGCACTCATCTCTTTGCTTCATTCCTCCGATCGTCTCTTCCAATCAATAAGTGTACAAAGTATACGTATTACCAACTTCATTCTCATAGTTGACTTACTCAATTCCGTTATTCACTAGTGTGATTTAAGTCGGTAATTATATACGAGGATAGACGGCATGTATATTTTGAAAATAATCATTCGTACGACCTAATTGGAGACGGATATCTAGTCTTTAAAGGAGATCCCGTCCTCCTTGAGCATGGACGGACTCCATATGGCCTATGAAAGGCTGTGAAGAATGAGTTAAACTGGTAAGAGAACTATAATGACCCTAGTTAAGTCATCCATTTGGTCTACTCCTATTGTGACACCATTTAAGTCAGATGGAAAAATACCTAGAATTTGTTGTAACTATCACTTGACACTAAATACTCCACCATTTCAACAGAGTTGTACCACCCAAAAACCTAAAAACATACTACATAAATAGCGACGGTCAATGTATTTAAATAAAATAGTCCTCAAATATGCGCACTTACAAATTTCAGTAAATGCAATTCCTGGTCAGCTAACTATTATTGGTAAATTATTCTGGCTGTTTATATTCAAATTCATATCGTTCAGATCAAATATTTCGCCTACACAACCGCAGGAAGTTATAAATTAGATTGTAACAGGTCTTGATTATGTTAGATCGCATTAAGTTTGCATCATAGTTCTTTCTGAAAATATAGGGTTGCATGATGAGCACATCCCAAAGTTACTCAGGTGGTTTTAGCTACTGCTTCTAGCATGTACTGCATGAACTCTCCCAAGTTACTTTCAACTCATTTTATATGCATAAGACATGAACAATTGTTCAGCTCACTCACTACATATTGTAGATAGGATTGTGAAGAGATGTCTTTCGGCCGGGTCGCTGACAGCGCACTACATCAAAAGTAAGCTAATCAGGAAATTTAACCACAGCAGAGATTATTGCTAGTTTTAAGTCTTTCAGTGACTGTCACTCGTGTAAATAGGTGATAAGAGTAGGTCAGTCCACTACAATCTGGACAAAGTCGGTAATTTTGATGGTGCAACTGAAAGTTATGTGCCAAATTTGATAGGTGCTACCAATCATGAACCTGACTTAAATAAACTT